AAAAGAATTTATATACTTCTGCATGGGACATAAGAATCGTTGAAGAAAGTGATGACKGGGCTATTCCCTCAGTTCATGTCGTCATGTAAGCAGTGCTGTGTACAAATATAGTTTTGACCAAATAAATGTGAAATGTAGCACAACTACGTGTTTGTTAAGATTATATGTAAGTAGAATAATGTGAAACAACACCAACTTGCAGCGTTTTATCTCAGTTGCGGCATTGTATATGACAGCAAATGTATGTGAATTGAAGCCAGTTGAACGCAAAAGATTATTGGTCAATCAAAATAGTCTCGTATTTCTTATTGTCGCTGCTCTGATTTTGATATACATAACGGTCAAAAATGTRTGTGTTGCGTTTGGATTTTATTAAAGGCAAAGTATAGGGTAGAATAAAAWTCACAAAGTTTTTTCGTCGCATGATGCGAGAAAGATTCCATCTCGATAAAAAAAATTGTTTCGAGACATATTGGTTCCCTTAATAACCGATATGTCCGATATGTAAGACTCACTAATTAACTTTGCTGTCGATAGAATCGAAATCTTTAGAGTTAATGCATTGTAAACTAGAGTTGATTGCTCCCAGTTATTAAGATATTTTGTATTCTAAATTTTGTCTTACGTCATCCGGTGTGCTTTCTCATTTGTCCTTTTTTTGCGATCAGGCTCGTGCCGCAATCTTAATAAYTGTTCAAGTCGTGGAAACTGCTCAGTGTACAGCTTTTGTGATTGYGATCAAGGATTCTATGGAAATGATTGCTCCCAAGGTAAGATTCGTAATTCAGTGTTATAAATAAGCTGTATTGACAATAATCTATTTCTACAGACAAACCTCTTCTCGAGCCCCCACTTCTTGAGGTTTCATCCAGCGGTGGCACTGAGGACATGCCCGTACGGTTATTTTTTTCAGCAAGAATGGTTGGAGCCAACTTTACAAATAATGTTTCTTTAAGTATGATCATATACAATGTCCCGTTATCGTTTTCATTCAGTCGAGGCAGGCGTAGTGACAAGTCGGTCATCCTAAGCCAACAAGAATTCGGCGACTTGACCATGAAGCCACCACATGATTTTTCCGGGAATGTGWCTTTCATTATCTATTCCAAACTTACTGATGGAAATCGAGTCTCAATCAAGAATTCATCGTTAACTGTGAAAATCAAAGCAAAGGCCGATTTGCCATCTCTTACTGTAAMGGAGGCATGTGCTAATTCCAGTGGCATGATACCGCTGTCGATAAACGCATCATTATTAGACCGTGATGGTTCTGAAAGAATGTCTATCAAGCTGTCTGGACTACCCGACGGTTACCAACTGCGTCCCCCTGGAAGACAACAGGGTGATGCTCAGTACCTCAACCTCGTAACACTCCCATCATTGATGGTCATCTTTCAAGGAAAATTCCACCCCTTTACTCTAAAAGTGACTGCTTCGTCTGTAGAGATCTCGAATGATGACACAGCAATCAGAGAGAAAATAATCAAAGTTGAATTGTGTACGCTAGAAGGTAATTTGAAGTTGGCTTTTGGAACAACATTTCCGAATGATAATAATAATAATAATAATAATAATATGTGGTATTTATATAGCGCCGATATCCTCTGAGTTCAAAGGCGCTTCACATGTATAGATCATTTCACACGGACCGCTGTTTTTAAGGCGCAATTGGCAGCCACGCGGCTTACAATCATGAGGGGTTAGTAATTAGTATGGGTTAGTAGTAAGGCCTAGCCACACACACCGGCAATCATTCCCTACTCTTATGCGAACAGTGGTGTGGGTTCTTTAACGTCCCTCTAATACAGGTTAGTGAGTGAAGTGTAGAGAGACGGAACCTCCGATTTGACGTCGTTATCCGAGAGGACGCGAAGATCTTACCATTTGCAGATGGAGAAAGACAAAGGCAGCAACTTCTCCTCAATTATTTTAAGACCCTGAGTGTTGGTCCGGCCGGGGTTTGAACCTGCGACCTCCCGCACTAAAGTCCGATGCTCTACCTACTGAGCTAACCGGTCGGCGCATAAATAGTTCATATTAGTCCAAACAAACACTGCAATGAAATGATGAAATATTATAACATTGTATCTTTTTACCATTTCACATATTGTCTTTTTTGTTTGTTTCATGTAGTCACTTGTCATGAATTAAACAATTGYTCAGGCCGCGGAGTTTGTGTTGCTCAAAACAAATGTAGGTGTGATCAAAATGATACAGGAGCTGATTGCTCAAAAGGTAACAAAGTTTGCTTATCCTTCTAGCTCAAAAAATGCTCAATTGATATGTTTTYCCCAAACATTTCAATTCAATCAATTTAACTTATATAAGCAATTCTTATAGCATTTTCACTAATATAATGAATATAATCTATTCTAAACAATAGAATCTGTGATTAATACCAAAGATCGAGAAAACGACGCCAACACAGGCGCAGTGGTCGGTGCCACCATAGGCAGCCTAATAATTGCCATCCCAATTTTAGCSTGCATSCTTTATGCATATWGCACGAAATATCGAAACAAGAGAWTAGAAGGTAAAAAAAMMCACCTGTATCCTGGATCAGGTCCTCCACTAATGCTTTGAATGCTATTGAACTGTTAGAGTSCAAATGAACTCCATTTTTTCTAAKTAAAATAATARCTYGAAGCAAAAAGATTTTGAAYTAGATGAATTCCCGAYATTTAACGTTATTTTGAATTTCCTGCCAGTTCGGAAAAATGCGTTTTCTTTGATATCAGGAACCTGGTGCGAATGTGACGTCAACTTAGGAATCATTTTCCTTTSCWTCTGATGATGTGGTTTTGGCTTCGRCTCAAAWTTTRCCGTTTTTCGGGATCTCAGTCCCTCGAGTATGATGGTACGCTGTTCRGCGTAATAAGACTTTTTTAAGTGYGAGGTGCGGGATATTTTKTGCATAGTATTTATTTTTCGCTGACTTCAACGTGTCTTTAGTCTCAKCGAACCGCTGACTATATCGAATGCCACATCACATGCAATCCTGCCGTGCTCATTCAATGCCTCSAAATACACCAAATGAGCACATAAAGAGGACTTCAATCTCGTTTGCTGTTTGCAGCTATGTGATTTTTATATGCCGAGCTATCTTACGAAACAAGAAAAGCTCTATTAATGTGAAGAACTGTTTTTGTGTAATTGCAATAAGCTATCACATAATTTTCACCACACTTGGAACAAACCACTAACATTTTGCTTTAATCAAACATTGTTGTAAGGTGTGACTTCTTGAGCATTTTTGATAGTAAATAATAATGTATCAATACATTACCTATCTTGCCCAGTTTAAAAGTTCCATTTGTCCCGTCATATTTCCTTTAAGGATTGAAAACATTCATATACATAATTATATATTATTATTTTTTTGTCAAAAAAGTGGGGGGCCCGGGCCCCCCTGGCCACACCCCTTGCTACGGGTCTGAAAATTCTGGTGATAATAAGTCCTTAGTAGTACCTTAGTAGTACCAGTCATCCTGTAGAAGGCATAAAAAGCTTGTTTATTTCTCTAAATGAAGATGTTTTGTCATCACATATAAGTTCTGTCTTTGGTTAATTTGTAGCGGAGTGAAATTAAAAAAAAATACGGCTAAAAAATCTTTTTCAGGAATAGTTGATTATGAGAGAAACGATRTCTCAGTTAAAAAAGGGGGAAAAATTGAACGTGCTCCACGTTCTAAAGAAGTTATCCTGGTTAGCCTTTGCCCGCGCTTGAATCATTAGACTCGCGCGTAATTTATCAAATCAGAATTTCTACACATTGTTGTTCTCCCTTCTTCTCTCCCTT